CAGAGCGAGCTCTCCAGGGGCAGGATAATGCCTGGCGATAATGTGAGGAAAATGCAGGTAATAAGGCATGAAATAAACCTTTTATACTGGAGAATTTTTTAACCTTTACATAAAATGGTAATAGTTAACAGGCAACAAGCAACGCCTCAGGTACTTTTTGGCAACAGTTCTGGTAAGGGAGGACTTTATATGGGATTTATTTAAAGATATTCTGGATAGTTGATCGCATAGCATAGAATTTTACGCTTTAATAAGATGATAATGATAGGGCTTACCCTCGACAGTATGCGTTTTTGCATTGCATAGATGCAAAAAAATACACAGCAAGTAGAAATCTTCAGAATTATTTTGAGAGGCAAAAAACCTCATGACTATGGACAATAAATCACTGGATTGGGCCTCATCTTGTACCAAAAATACTGAGATTGCAGTGTTCCTCTCCTGTCCCCTTGTTTATTGAATCTCATGCGCTGATGTAGAGGTTCGTAGTATATTTGCTTAGGGAATGCTTGGATAAGGCTTATGCAGCCAAGCGAAGCACTAGAACCTAGCATTTTGCCTAGTTGCATCAGCGTGGATGCGATTATCCCCTCGTTATTCACTCTCTACGAGAGCTGAGAAAGCACTGAGTCCGGCAGCAACCGCGTGCCAGATAGCAATTGCCAACAGCAACCACACACACAGTTAAACTGCCGATGGTCTTCTGTTTTGAAGATTGCTGGTGATCAAGATATTGGCGATTGAGTTTAGTTATCAGGAAAAAAAAAATTTGAAGAGTTTTAAATTTATTGGAGAAATTAATAGGTGTAATAACTTTTACCGACTATTAACTTGAACGGCAGAATTTTATACACTACATTGATGCATTTTCATGGACTTGTTTGATCAGGTCATTGCATTCGCTGGCCGTCTTTTCTAGTCCAGCAGCATGCAAATGTTATTTGGTATTAACCCGTTTGCCTGCCTGATCGAACATTGAAGCAGCGGAACTGATTGTGCTAGTTTCCGAATAGTACTGCCACTTACTGTTATTTTTATAGTGGCTGAAAAACTGCACTAAATTCGGCGAAGCTGTTGAAAGAGCCGAGGAGTGAAAGACGCTATCGCGAGCATAAACAGGTATATAACTCGTAATATTACGACTTTTTGAACTCACTAAATTTACGCCGAATTTAATTTTATCGCTAGAAATTTTTAACAACCCCTCGTTTTATTTTTATTTGGATAGTATAAAAATGTCATTTTAATCTGCAGATGGTGGCGTTCTGCGCTGATAGTTGGCGATACCAGACGTGTGGCACAGCAAGAAATTTTATATATTGTGATTTAATTTGTGAAATTGGGAATGTATGATGTTTCTTTTTTATGCAGTTTACTTTAAAGTGTGTCGTTGTTTGTAAAATCAAAATGTATGATTTTTATGTATATTTTCTAATGTAGAAAGATGTAGGTGTTTTGTTTAATTCTAAATATTTGCTGAATTTTTGTAAATATTGTAGTTTATTTGTATAAGGATTGTATTAACCGTAGTGTTCTTTTGGTATTTTTTTAAATAAATACAGTATTTTATGTTTTTTGTTTTTGCAGTGTATCCAAACTCAGTTTTACCGCACTATGTGTCTGAGCGTTCTGCGGTTCACAGTTCCAAGGGCTTGCAGCGTCTGTTTCACTAAACTGTTTTTGAAAGGGGTCATTCTGTTGATGTTTCACACTTGGATGGAAGTGGGACACTCAGTTTTTCTGACCTCGGCTTGCGGAGGTTGCTCGGCTGATTGGTTTGGAGTTGTGTTGCTCGTGATAATACTAGAATGCATTTCCATAGTGGAGTTTTTGGTTCCAGAAAATTTTGGGGAAATACGTTTGGCTTTAGTAGAAAAAAAGTTTAATATTCGAAAAAGATCGAAGTTTAGGGAAGTTTTATTTGTCTAAATTTTAGTTTTTCTCAAATTAATTTTAGAGGTAAGAATTAAAATTTAGAATTTGGAAAGTTTTTTTAAGTAGTGGCATTTCGGCCTTTAATGCGTTTTCATGAAACAAACACTGCGTTTCATTAAAATTTTATTGGTAACAAATCAATGCAACAACATTTCTTGCGCCATGAAAGTAAGTCGTACAGGAGTTACACTTCACTACGTTTGGATAAATGTAGCTCAGTAAAATCGAGAGTTTTGCACCGATGTTCAGATACTTACATGTATGCATGCATACAAAAGTATAACAATTTATATTCGCAAGCAGCGCACAGCTTTTCTTGCCCGATGTGGTGTCAGGTTTTTCCACATTCAAAGTCCAGAGGTGTTGGGAATGTAATGGCCAATAGATGACCGGATGAAAAATGGACGGTCCAGGTGATTTTACCAAACTGGGCTAAACTGATAAAAATTTTTTCGACCGTTGATAGGTCAAAACAAGCGTTCTGAAGCAAGTCAGTCGGAGCCATGGGAAGCACGGAAAGGGCGAAAACACATGCCATTGATTTCAAGTACCAGTCTTCCCTGCATCGTAAGAAGGCTGAGGAGAATCATTCATGTGTAAGCTGCAGGACAACAATGGGCGATGGAATACGACACAAATAACATATTTCTCAAACAGAAGAAAGGAAAACCAATACATGGACACAGAGTAATGTAGATTCCGGTCGCAAAAACTGTGGGTAGAATACCAACTGCGTCCGAAGCTTGATTGGTAAGGAAGCGACAAGTGATGAAAGATTAAAGGTACTGAACATTGTCTGTAGATTAATTGTCGAATAACTTCTTACTCTAATCGAACAAAATAATTTATAACCCAGATAAATTTATGACAAAATTGCTCTTGCACATACGCGAAATTTCGAAGTTGAGTTTAAAATTTTTGGGTCAAGCAAGGAATATTCTTGAAAAATTTGAGCTTCCTAATTTAACTGGTCTCCGAAACCGCTTTTTCATGTTGGATCATTTGAATCAATTTCGAATCAATTTGTAGCTTAGTACGCCAAAAAATAATGTTTCTCAGCTCATCGAATTTTAATGAGTTTTTTAAGCCTAGCATGCCGAAACGATTTTTGGCCTAGCCCGTCGAATCACTTTTTGTCGCCAGATCGCGATGTTTGTTGTAAATATGAGTAAGGAGCCTGTGTCTATTAATGAATGTATTTGGACATTTGGGACACGGTACTCTTAAAAGTTCGCCATCACGATTCACTTTGCTCTTTGCCTGTGTCGATTCTGCGCCCGCAAACGCATGCTTGTAAAACACCAGAGGTTTTATCTTTTCCAAACGGCTGGACCTTCGCTTGATGATCGCTGAAAGTTTTTCGGTGATTGTATTATCGATAGGTGGAACGGCTGAATGCAAATTAACGGTACTTGCGCGTGCTGCTGAGAAGGTACGGCGATTTTCCACGTTCTCAGCATGCTCTTCCGCTACTGCTGCTGGTACCATAAATGGTGGTTTGTAAAGCAGATCAATTTTGTCACCAAAAACGCTGTGCTTTTTTAACTGAGCTCGGCTTCTATAAGAATCAGAAGAAACGGAAGAGCTGGGGCCAGGAAAATTGGGGAATTTGGGGTGGAAAGTAAAAAATTGCTCCGGATCCCACCAGGGCTGTCCTTCTAGATAGTGCTGCCGCTGTTGTAAAGAGGGAGTACCAAAGGAGTAAGGTAACTGGCTAATTGATGCTGCTGCTGATGATGATGATGCCAGTGATGGCGGTTTGTAGATATCGAGGATCGGCAGTGAAGATATGTGATCATGCTTTTCACGGATATTCAGATCGCTCGCTTGGGATTTCGGAGAACTGGTAGTGGACCCGCGTGGTTTCCGTCCTCTCGCAGCTTCGGTTCGCCTCTGAGTTGCTAGGAAAATTAGCAAAATAACTGGAAACAGCGAAATTGTAAAAGAACTTCCAGATATCCGCATACTTGCGTTTTACCCAATCTGAAAATGTGGAAAATAAGACTTTTTGGACAAAAACAGTCATTCCTTATCATCTGTTTGCATTTAATCCTTCCAGAAGTTGAAACAAATGTCAGGATCATCAGCAAGCTGATATGAAGAGATGTGCAATACGTGGTGTAGTAAAAATATTCGAAATTAAAGTCAAAATCCCCTCCCACACTCACTTTCAATGAAGGGCGAAGGCAACTGGAAGATAATCTGAGCGGTGCAAACAACAAGTAATCGCTGACAAAGACTCCCTCTTTCTGTTGTTGCTTACAAGCAAGCTGATGGCGTGATTGTTTTGTTGGTGCATACCATTACTAATTTGCGTTCGAAAAGTATGACTGAGTCGCTGAGAAATTTATAGGGTATGTAAGGTAAAGACTGACGAGCTGGAATTTTTTAATATAATGTAACAACAGTGGATTTTCTAAAATAAGTTGTATGCAGAGGAAAACCAAGATATCAAAGATAGTAAAGCATTTTAACACATGTAGCAGCAAATGATTTTATTATAAACTACGTTTCGGTACTCCTGGCGTATGCTGCTGTAAACCACTAAATAATGCATGCTGTGAAAGTAAAAAAAAAATCGTTTCGAGGAAATGCAAAGTAGCTTAAATGCGGTAGTGAGCAAAAATCCCAACTAAAATACCATGATACCCTACTGCTCTTATTGGAGGAAGGGAGAGGGGGGAAGGGAAGGGGGATGGAGGACAGTGTGTTGGAGGATGCTCAGAATATGAATGAAACACTGAATGGTTTGACTGATTTG